ATCTTCACAATGACTTTTTATAATGACTGACATATAGAGAATGCTCTCATATCTTTGAGCCCGTGTCTTTCAGTTTTGTCACTGATAATTTTATGCTCAAACCTGTTATGGCAACCTGTTATGTTCCTCTGTTTTCATTATCTAATTGTTGCACTGTATTCAATCTAACATCTTGAGAATAATTTTATTTATTACTCAATGAGTAAGACTCAGTGAAAACAAAATTGAGTAATCTTGTCTGAATGCTAAGTCGACATTTATTAGCTCTGGAGAAATAATAATTATAATGACTTATCTCAGTCCATACATAAATTATGAGTTAAATAGCAAGATTCTCTATATAATCAAAATGAAAATTATTGTTAAAGTAATAAGAACATAGAGATTCTTCATGATCTTGTTGGAAGTGATCAAGGTACAGAATGGGCAGTTCAGCTACACTTTACAATTCAGCTGAAAGAGTTTTGTAATACCCAGTTTGATGGGCTTTGTGTTAGTTTTTGTTTTTAAGATTTTTTAATTTGTTATTTATCTGAATATAATGTAGCTGTCTTCAGACACACAAGAAGAGGGTGTCAGATCCCATCAAAGGTGGCTGTGAGCCACCCTATGGTTCTTGGGAATTGAACTCAGTGCTCTTAACTGCTGTGCCATCTTTCTAGACCCTTGTTTTTTGGTTTTTAATGAAGACAAGTTTGTTTGAGCTTTTGGTGTCAGAGCATGACCATCAATGCTGAGATCACAGCAGCAAGATGGCACATGTGGCATTGGAGCAGTAGCTGAGAGCTTGCATTTTGAGATACAACCATGACAAAGGCAGGGGGAGGGATGGAGAGGGGGAGAGGGAGGAGAGAGGAAGAGAGAGAGAGTGGGAGAGATTGTCTAGGAATGACACTGGCTTTTTGAAACTTCGAAGTCTACCCCCAATGTCACAGCTAACCTAAGGGTATAGCCTACATTTTTATACCTCCAAGAACCACCTGGCAAGGGGTAGCACTACCCCCGCCCTACTGAGCTGGTCCTTCCTATATCAATCACTAATCAAAACTTATAAAATTGCCACAAAAACATCTGGTAAAGATACTTTCTCAATTGAGGTTCCTCCTCCAAGGTGATTTCAGTTTGTGCTTTATACAAAAACTTTGTGCTTTGACAAAAATCTAACCAAGACAGTATGTCTATAAGGGATTCCTTTTATAGTTAATTAATGTAAGAAAACCCAGCCCACTGTGGATGGCACTATTCTTTGGGCAGGTAGTTCCACGCTGCAGAGGAAAAGATAGATGGAAGGAAGGAAGGAAGGAAGGAAGGAAGGAAGGAAGGAAGGAAGGA